TGAGTCTCTGCGTGTCTCTGCTGGGCTGTCTGACTAGCCCTGCTTCGTTGCGGCTTTTGCCTTTGCGCTGGAGAAAAAAGGTCGAGCTTCGAATGGCCGACGCCAATCCTCTTCCAGGATGGACCAGTGCTAGCTTCGAGCTGGCTTTTGCGACGTCATTCAGCTGCATCCAATCCAGTCGCTCGCTGATGCCCTTTTCGTGTCAGTGCGCTCTGTATCTCGTCGGGGGGCCCTGGAAATCTGGCCAAGCCTGGCTAGGAGCACACCCTCCCCGCCCTCGCTGGCTTGCCCCGATTTGCACGACTGTCGCCTGGATTTTCTTTGCTCGGCATGACTACCAGCTCGATGTTGGCTTGGAGCCAGTTGCAGTAGGCTGCTTACTGGCTGTTGGCTCGCCCCTTCTTCGTTCTCGCCAGTGCGGGCCTTGACGGTGTGGCTTAATCTCCCCGTGTCACCCACAACGCACCCTCGGGTCGGCCTGCCTGCTCGTGGTTGCCACCTGCGTTCGGAAACTGGGCGAGACAGCTAGCAGTACTGTACCATGTCCATCGAGGCACGAGGGACAGGGGAACAGGCCGGTGGTCGTCGGTCGAGACCCTCGCTCACAAGGACCCCCGGTCACGCCTGAACAGCCCTCTCCAAGTCAGATTCAAGACGACCACCGCTGTGCTCTGTCTGGGCTTTGGGGGGTATATCTTACGACTTCTCCCTCGTAGCCACCTTCACAGGCCATCTACTCCAGTCCGCTACGCCTGCATCTTGCATCTCGACCTTCTGCTAATCCTTCCTTTTCCTGACGTCCCTCCGACGCCGACCACACTGTTAGCCTTTCACCCCGTTCCCCTCTAGTCCAACCTCGACGCCTCGCGCTCAGGTATTTCATCCCACCTACGCTTGCCGTCTGGCTCGTTCGGACAATCAGCCTGAGTCAAGAACAGCTCAGGGTCCCAACCGTCCTTTTGGCCATTCGACTGGCGACTTCGTCATCTCATTAAACTCTGAAGATACCCATCCCTCCTATTCTATATCACCTCGCCACCCTCCTAAAGAACCATCTTCTGTTGAGGCTCTTCCTACTTCTAAACTACCCTTCGTTTGTTACAGACCTCTAGTATAAAGGATACTTGCCACTTCACCTACGCCTACCGCTGACCGCTCTTTGCCAACATGGGTCTTCTTTCGCTGACCTACCGTCGCCCTCAATAT